AAATCTACGTATTGAAAATTTTTCCCAACGAGGGGTCTAAGGAGAAAACAGCGCTCTGATTTTTTTTTTTTATTAATGTACCCAAAAAAAAGAAACCTACTTATTTTTTATTTTAATTACTTTAATAACATGATTAAATTAACTTTAAATTACAATAAAATATAGTTATCAAATTTAAAAGCACATGTAGAAAGTAGAAACTAAATATATTATATTTAGTTTTATCTTTAAACTTTATTGTGTTATAAATTTAACATACAATATTATAATTAAAAATAATGAAAATGATTAAACTAAAAATATATATGGATCAAGTTATAAAATTTCTTTTATAAAAATCAAATTAAAAATAAAAGTCACTTGTAAAGATAAAAGTATATTTAAATCAAATGTTCGTTTTTTTTACGGTCAATGTAGATAACTTATTTACCTTGAGTCTAAAACGACATTGTTTTAAGGTGAAAATCAAGATATTTTTATAATTATAATTTATTTCAAGATTATAATAATCTTTTTTATTATAATTTTTTAATTTTTCAATCCAAAATAATGTCATTTAAAAAAAATAATAAAGCCTTAAACCTAATTTAGAAATCAATTGATTCCTTTCTTGCGATATATCTGGTTGTGCGTCAACAAGAAGCACAATAGACTCCAATTATTTAATTTAATTTAAGGGAAATACAAGTCTCATGTTGCATGAGACTTGCTATCTCATGCCATAGACTCAAAATATGTGGGACCTACTCTTAAAAAAAAAAGTAAAAAAATAAATAAAAGCTAGCACGACTTTTGATGTATGAGTAGGAGGAGTATGTTATCTCATGTAACATGAGAAAAACATACCCCTTAATTTAATTAGACATCGCGCCCCTGCGTTTTAGAACACTTATTGGTTGGAAGATAACACTCTATTTATTTTATTTTTTTTAATACAAGAAATGAAAAAGTTGTCCCAATATAAAGTCCACAATAAAATCAAGCCTTCCTAACCAGCAAATCAACCCTTTAGTTTTATTTTATTTCCTAGAGTGGTGTTACTGTACAGAAAAATGACATATGCAACTTGAAGATATTAGTAGTGCAGAAACGCATTTGTAGCAAGGAGAAAGAAACTAAACAATTTGTATATTCATTCTCAAGTGTCAAGTATCTGTACAGTGCATCGAATATAAAGGAAAAAAGTAACAAATTCTGTTACAACCACTTGGGTGACGTGGCACTAAAAATAAGGAAAAAATAAAATAAAAAAAGTGATATTCTAATACTCCCCCTCAAGATGGAGAGTGAATGGAGAACTCCCATCTTGGAGAGAAGAGCATAAAACTGATTGGGATGAAGAGCCTTGGTGAACATGTCAGCAAGCTGATGAGAAGAGGCAATGTGGAAGGTTTTCAATTGTCCACGGGCAATACAATCACGGACAAGGTGACAATCGATCTCAATGTGCTTTGTACGCTCATGGAAAACAGGATTATCTGCAATATGGAGGGCAGATTTATTGTCACAAAACAGATGAACGGCAGTAGGATGAGGAAGGCCAAGATCCTGGAGCAGTTGCAAGAGCCAAAGTATTTCACAAGCGGCATTAGTTGCACGGTATTCAGCCTTGGCGGAACTTCTGGAGATGGTGGTCTGTTTTTTTGATTTCCAGGAGATGAGGGAAGCTCCAAGAAAAACACAAAAACCAGAAACAGAACGACGACTATCCAAGCAAGAGGCCCAATCGGAATCACAAAAAATTTGCAATTGTGAAGAAGAGTCAGAAGGGAAGAAGAGACCTTGACCAATTGTAGATTTAACATAAGCGAGTATTCTGTGAGCTGCTTGAAGGTGGGGAACCCGAGGAGTAGCCATGTATTGGCTAAGATGATTGACCGCAAAAGAGAGATCAGGCCTTGTGATTGTCAAGTAAAGAAGGCGGCCAATAAGTCTTCTGTATGGAGTTGGATCGGGTAGCAGGTCACCAGCAAGTGAGGAAAGCTTTAAGTTGACTTCCATGGGGGTTGATTTGGGTTTGCAACCAGAGAGGCCAGCATCCTGCAGAATATTAAGAGCATATTGATGCTGGCAGAGAGAAATCCCTTTGGAAGACCTGGCCACCTCAAGTCCCAAAAAATATTTGACAGGACCCAGAATCTTAAGTTTGAACTTGCTGTCTAGAAGAGCAGTGAGAAGCTGTACTTCAGATAAGTTGTTAGAAGCAACAAGTATATCATCCACATATATGAGAAGAGCAATAAAAAAAGAATCAGAGTGCAGAATGAATAAAGAATGATCAGCCTTGGACTGTCTAAAACCAAGAGATGTGAGAGCCGAAGAAAATTTTGAAAACCACTGTCTAGAGGCTTGTTTAAGTCCATATAAAGACTTGTGTAATCTGCACACCGCATTGGGGATGGACTCCCCCTGTCCATGATAACCAGGAGGCAATTTCATATAAACCTCTTCGAACAAGTCACCGTGCAAAAAAGCATTATTGACATCTAATTGGATTAGATGCCAATTATGAAGGGCAGCAAGGGCAAGCAGTAACCGTACTGAAGTTAACTTAGCCACTGGGGAAAAAGTTTCAGAAAAATCCACTCCCTCTTATTGAGTGAAGCCCTTGGCCACCAACCGGGCTTTATACCTTTCAACAGATCCATTGGAGTTATATTTGACCTTATAGACCCATTTACAGCCAACACAATTCTTGCCAGGAGGAAGTGGAACAATGGACCAAGTGTTATTGTGTTGTAGGGCCGAAATTTCAGCATCCATAGCTGCCTGCCACTCAGGAAGTTGAGATGCCTCAGAAAAAAAGGTTGGCTCAAAATGGTGGGATAAGGAATTAATAAAGGCAGTATGGGTAGGAGAAAGTTTATGATAGGAAAGAAAATTTGAGAGAGGGTGGGCTGTGGAAGAAGAACAAAAATAATCAGCCAAATGGGAGGGGGTGTGTCTAGTCCGAATGGGACGGTGGGAAGGCAAAGGGGGGGAGAGGGTTCGGTTGGGGAAAAAAGGGGAGGGGGAGAAATAGGGAAAGGGGAATCAGGCAGTGTATCAAAAGAAAAGGGAAAAACAGATTCAACAAAGGTGACATCCCTGGATATAAAGGTACGGTTAGAGGCTAAATCCAGCAGTTTATAACCCTTAAAACCAGGGGGATAGCCAAGAAAGACAGCAGGGACAGCCCTAGGTGAGAATTTATGTCGTGAGTGAGGGAGTGTGAACCCATAACAGAGACAACCAAAAATACGTAAGTGATCATAGGAAGGGGGCTTGTGAGACAAAAGCTCAAAGGGAGTTTTGTGGGAAAGTAAAGGGGAAGGGGTCCTATTAATGAGATATATGGCTGTGGTGACACAATCTTGCCAGTATGGAAGGGGGATATGGGATTGAAAGTGAAGTGCGCGAGCAACATTGAGGATATGCTGGTGCTTGCGTTCCACCACCGAGTTCTGCTGCGGACGGTTGACACAGGAATGAAAAACCTGGATACCTTTGGAATGAAAAATGTCAGAAACCATAAACTCAGGAGCATTGTCACAACGGATAGCCTTGATGGAAGCATTATACTGATTATGTATAAGGTGAATAAAATTAAGAAAAACAGAACGAAACTCAAATTTGCTTTTCAAAAAATAAGCCCATGTAAAACGGGTGGCATCATCAATAATAGTAAGAAAGTACTTGGATCCTTTAACAGAAAGATGCTGAAAGGGACCCCAGATGTCACAGTAAATGAGAGTAAAAGGAACAGAAGACAATTTAGGATTTAAAATAAAAGGTAATCGTTTCTGTTTTGCAATAGGACAAACAGTACAATGATGCGTGGAATCTATAGTGTCAGAATTAAGTAAAACATCCTTAATGGAATTCGAGACAGAAAAAGATAGATGACCTAGTCTAGCATGCCAAAGTGTAGAACTAGGCCTATTTACAGCAAAACAGAGGGATGGGGGAACAGAAAATTTGGGAAAAAGGGAGCAAACATCAAGAACATAAAGATTGCCACAACGTTTAGCAATCCCAATCGTCGTTGCCGTTGTAGGTTCCTGTAAAATACAATGAGAGGAAGTGAAATTAGCAACGAGAGAGGAATCGCGAGTGAGGGCACTGATTGACAAAAGATTAAAAGTAAAGGAAGGAACAAATAAAACATTTCGAAGAGATAAAGAAAGGGAAAGGGAAATGGAGGCAGAGCCTACGACAGGGACAGTCGAGCCGTTGGGAAAAGACACGACTGAAGCTGTGGACGGTGAAGAAGCACCAGAGGCAAGAAAAAAACGAGAGGAAAAACACACATGGTGAGTAGCACCTGTGTCCAAAATCCAACAAGAATTAGAGAAAGGGGAAGGGACAGTACCATTAAGGCTGGCAACAGAAGGAGGACCATCACTGAAGGAAGCAGAAGAGGACGTGACTGGAGCAACCGGAGCAGCAGAACCCTTATGGAGGAGAGACAACAGGTGAGCATATTGGGCGTGGTTGATCGCGACGGACGGTGCTGGAGAGGAATTAGGGTAAGGGTTTGGTGAATTTGAGAAAACTGGATAGGAGACTGAAGAGTTAGTGTGGGCCGAAGGATATTGGGCCGTGTTTAAGTGAGGGTTGTGTGGGTTGGGTCGTGGCTGTTTGGGCCTGTACCCTGTGGGAAAACCATGGAGACGGAAACATTTTTCCCTCACATGGCCCTGAGCGTGGCAATAGGTGCAAAAGGGGCGAGGACGGCGAGGGTTGGTGATGACAGCAACCACCGGCTGTGAGGAATCAGAGGGAAAAGGAGAAGTGGGAGTAGTGTTTATGGAGCTAAGCAATGGTGTATCAGGAGTGGCAGGAACTGGGATGGAAATCAGGCATTGACGTTCTTCTTGAAGAACCAGAGAGAAAACGCGAGCAAGCGATGGGAGAGGATCCGTCAGCAAGATCTGGCCGCGCACAGAGGAGAACGAATCGTTGAGACCCATAAGGAATTGTAGGGCATTATGTTGCTGCTGGGAGTCCAAGAGGTGACGCTATCCTCCACAGGTGCATGTAGGAAGAGGAAGGTGGCTCTGAAGCTCTTCACAGAGAGTCTTCAACTTAGTGTAATAGGTATTCACATCGAGTGAACCTTGGTGCAGGGAGGCAATTTCTTGCTTCAATTGAAAAATCCGAGGGCCATTTGCTTGTTGGAATCGAGTGCGCAAATCATTCCAGACATCAGAAACATTGGAAAAATAGATCAAGCTATCAACAATGGCTTTAGTTACAGAATTCAGAAGCCAAGAGATTACCATTAAGTTACACCTGTTCCACGAAGGAAAGAGCAATTCAGCATCAGCGGGACGAGGAACAGATCCATCAACGAAGACAAATTTATTCTTAGCAGTAAGAGCAATAAGCATGGCTCTACTCCAAGAGCTATAATTGGTTCCATCAAGAAAATGGGTTACCAAAACCAGGCCAGGATGATCACTTCCCTGAAGAGAATAAGGACTGGAAGCATCTTCCATTGTAGAAGATGAACCAGAAGAAGGATCTGAGGAAGGTGGAGGACGGTTATTGCCACGAGCCATCAGTAAACGCTATCTGATACCATATTAGTAGTGCAGAAACGCATTTGTAGCAAGGAGAAAGAAACTAAACAATTTGTATATTCATTCTCAAGTGTCAAGTATCTGTACAGTGCATCGAATATAAAGGAAAAAAGTAACAAATTCTGTTACAACCACTTGGGTGACGTGGCACTAAAAATAAGGAAAAAATAAAATAAAAAAAGTGATATTCTAATAGAAGAACTCTCTTTTTTTTTTTTTGTAAAAAATAAATAAATAAAATAATAAAATAATTATTTTTTTAAAATAAAAATAAATCAAACCCAATTATCAATCACGGCCAGTTTCTGGGAGGTTTCATTGATCTAAGATTTTTTTTTTATAATAAGGAGCGAAAATAAAGTTTTAAAATTGTAAGTATTATTAAGATTAAAAGGAGATATTTATTATTATAAATATTTTTTAGAGAGGAGCTAATTATTAGTACTAATTAATAGCCAATTATTATTAAAAAAAAATACTATTTTATACATAAAAAAAATTAGGGAGGGGGACCGTCCATTCTAGTCCCTCCGTCGGTCCACCCCTGATTTGAGGACAAGGAAATACTTTGACAAGTCCACAAAAGTTAATTTTATTTTCAGACTAAAACAAATGAAATACAAAGCACAAATGCTGAAACAGTGATCTACCATTATGAATATCATCAAATCAGGACGTAATTAAGTTACAATATTATGGGAATAACTGTGATAGATAGTTAGCAAGGCAGAGAAATATAATATGGTTCGAGAAAAATAAATAAAAAAATCCAGAAAGTTCAAGTTAACGAAGAAGATAAAATAAAGGAAAAAAAAGGTGTGTCATTTTAAATAACACACTTTATATCCTTTCACTCTTACAAAGAGATGAGACCTACACATTTAAATTTTATTTCACTCATTCTCTCTTTCATAATTCATCTCTTTTTATCACTTAAAATGATACAACTTTATATCATTTAAAATGATATATACTTTTTTCCTAAAATAAAATACAAAGACCACAACTTGCACTAGCTTTGAATTTCTTTTTTCATATATTATAGTTTAAAATAACTTTACATTCAGGATTATATTAAGATTTTATTTAGTTAAAGGATTGTGATGTAATTTTGCTCCCATTACATACTTCTTGAAGACCATTGAATTTTCCAAGATGTCCACATTTATGGCAGGCTTACTTCATTCATATAAATACTTCCAGTGGATGGTAATGCCTTCACATCCTCCACCCATCTTCTTACGTGATCATGGATTCCTCTCCCTCCAATATTAGATTTGCTTTGTTGTGGTTGGTATGTATAATCATGTTCAACTCAGTTATGTGCAGTTTGAAAGTTCACTGCAACGTGAAGGACATGAACACACTCCTACTCTTCAAACAAAGAGTCATAGATCCTTGAGACACGCTCTCCTCTTGGTTCACTGAACAAGATTGTTGTCAGTGGACAGGAGTTCAGTGTGATAATATCACGGGCAGAGTTACAGAGCTAAATCTTCCTTGTCATACAAATCACTCTGTAGTCATTGCTTATGGAGAGAAGGACGACAAATCACACTGCCTAACAGGTGAATTCAATATTTCATCTTTATTGGAACTTGAATATTTAAGCTACTTAAATTTGAGCAACAATGACTTCAAGGCTATCCAATATAACCCAAAATGTGATAACTTGTCAAGAGGTACACCTCCCCATCCGTGTGGAAACTCATCCAACCTCTATTATCTTGATTTATCATATAATTCTGATATTCTCATTTCTAATCTCCACTGGATTTCTAGCCTTTCATCCTTGCAATATCTTAACCTCGATGGCATTGATCTTCACAAGGAAATTTATTGGCTTCGGTCAGTGGCCATGCTTCCTTCACTTGTAGAGTTACACTTGCAGAGCTGTCAACTTGAAGACATCCATCCATCTCTTTAGTATGCTAATTTTACTTCACTTCAAGTTTTAGATCTCGCTGATAATCATTTTATATCTGAGTTGCCTAGTTGGTTATTCAATCTTAGTTCTCACATCTCCCATATTGACCTTAGCCAAAATCATATACATGGCCAGCTATCTACAATATTGCCAAATCTTGGAAGCATCAAATCCTTGGTTTTCACATAATAATCTTGTTGGACCCATTCCAGATTGGGTAGGGCAACTTGAACAACTTCAAGATCTTGATCTTTCTTATAATTCATTTTCTGGTCCAATTCCCACAAGTTTGGGAAATCTATCATCCTTGATTGAATTGTATCTCTTTTCAAATCACTTGAATGGAAATCTTCCAGAAAGTCTGGGGCAACTCTTCAATTTGAAGGCCATGACAGTTGGTGATAATTCCTTGACAGGAATTGTGACTCAAAGAAATCTACTATCTCTTTCAAATTTAAAATACATTTCCTTGAGCTCGCCAACCTTGATATTTGATTTTGATCCTGAATGGGTCCCTCCGTTTCAACTTCAACGTATTGAGTTGGGATATGTGGGTGGCAAACTTCCTTCATGGCTATTTACACAGAGTTCTCTCAAAAGTCTAACCATTAGACACTCAAGTGCTTCATTTGAACCTCTTGACGAGTTTTGGAACTTTGCTACTCAACTTGAATATCTGTTTTTACACAACAACACAATCAATGGGGACATGTCAAATGTGTTGCTAAACTCGACATTTATTTCCTTGATTTCCAATAATTTGAGAGGTGGCTTGCCTCGATTAACACCAAAAGTGACCTCTTTGATTTTATATAACAACTCTTTAACCGGATCCATTTCTCCTCTATTGTGTCACAAAATGGTAGAAGAAAGCAATTTATTTTATTTAGAAATGAGCAATAATCTTTTATCTGGAGAACTCACAGATTGTTGGAATGACCGGAAATTGTTGTGTCATGTTGGTTTGGGGAAGAATAACCTAACAGGCAAGATTCCTCACTCTATGGGATCCTTGTCTAACCTCATTTCATTGGATTTAAGTAGCAATAAATTCTTCGGAGAAGTACCTTTGTCACTAAAATATTGCCAGAATCTTTGGATCCTCAATCTAGGTGAAAATAACTTCTCTGGAGCTATACCAAACTGGATGGGGGGGAGCGCAAAAGCTCTACGACTGAGGGCGAATCAATTCAGTGGCAATATCCCCACACAAATATGCCAACTTAATTCACTAATGATCATGGATTTTGCAAACAACACATTATCAGGACCAATACCCAATTGTCTCCTTAACTGCACAGCCATGCTTTCTGATGAACATGCTTCAATTAGTAAGCTCGGCATTACTGTTCAAGTAACTGGTTACAGACCAGTAGACACTGTTTTCGTTATTAGGATGCCCATAAAAGGCAATGAATTAGCATATGTGAATTTTATGTATGCTATTGATCTTTCAAGCAACAATTTGTCTGGAACAATGCCTTTAGAGATTTTCATGCTGACTAGATTGCAATCAATGAATTTGTCCCATAATCAATTAGTAGGGACGATACCAGATGAAATTGGAAACTTGAAACAATTGGAGTCCATTGATCTCTCAAGTAATCGTCTTTCAGGACAAATTCCACAGTCCATGTCTGGTTTATCTTTTCTTGGTATATTGAACGTGTCTTTCAACAATTTTATGGGCAAAATCCTATTGGGGACCCAACTTCAAGGTTTCACAAATCTTGGTTATATAGGTAATAATAAATTATGTGGACCTCCACTTACCCAGATCTGCCCACAAGATGAAAAATCGCATAATACAAAACCGATGGGAGAAGATCACGATGATAATGATGATAGATCTGTAGTATCTTCATGGTTCTACATGGGCTTGGGAATCGGATTTGCATCGGGATTTTGGGGAGTTTTTGGTCTCATATTATTCAACAGGACATGCAGACATGCTTATTTCAGATTTCTTCACCGACTGTACACCATGGTGATTCAAAAGATGTGTTCCCTGTATTGAAACCTAAGAGATTGCAACTGTGGTAAGTAAAGAAGCACTTTTTTAAGCTTTAAATTGGATCTGATTTTACTACATATGTATTTATATTGTTTAAATCAAATATATTATATCTAATATCCAAAAATCGAGTGCCTTTTACTCTCTTTAGATTAGAAGTATATCGTCTACCTATTTACCTATATATATATATATATATATATATATATATATATATTTCGCTATATGTGTGTGGGTTGTTTTGTAGGTATCTTTCATATATTCTTAATTAGCATCCCAAAACTCCATGTTTCTGAGTCATCAATTACAGTATAATGACTTAAATGGGCATAAATAAAGCACACATAACATTTCTTTTCTCATGCGCTAATTCCTGAAATCGATGTTAGCATTGTGCTTTTGATATTAATATCTGAATTATTTTCAAACTAGAAAACATTTAACTGGTTATTTATCCTTGCAAATTCTATACAAAATTTGCAGGTCCTTGATGTCTATGTTTCGACAAGTTATTAATTTCACCCAGAGGTTTTACAAGAGGCCACAAGGTTGCTTTTGTTATTGAAGATATACAAATAAGAAAAGTGACATGTCAGTTCTTGTTTTTATTAAGTTGTATCGTTGGAAACACCTCTATTTCATCTGTAGAATTTATGTTGTGTGTTAAGTTTAGAATGTTTCTTTATACTAAATCATAATGAAAATGTTTTTATACTAGTTCAATTATTTAGCATATCATGTTGTACCTTTGAATCTGCAGTAATTACGCCTGAAACAAAAAAAATAAAACTTAAACAACAGAAGGAGTTTTAAAAATCAAATAAAATTACGAGGGATAGTGAGATGCAAGGCCTGATATCACCCCTTGGATTCTATATATATATATATATATATATATATATATATATATATATATATATATATATATGAGGCAGGATCCTTTGACACCAGTGTCAAATTTTAAATTTGACACCTTATCTTAAAGCCGTTAGATACAAAAAAATCAACGACTCTGATTTGTAAGCATGTGATACCATTAATCTTTTTTGATCTAACGGCTCTAAGATAAGGTGTCAAATTTGAAATTTGACACCAGTGTCAAAGGATCCTACCTCTATATATATATATGGGGTTTATTAATCTTATGTTACATGAGAGTACTATCTCATGTGGGTGATACAAATATGTGGGGTCCACAATTTAAAATGAAAAGAAAAAAGAAAAGAAAAAATTGGCACAAAATTCTATGAGTGTATAACATGAGATAGGTATCTTATGTTGCATGAGAGTATCATTTCCCTATATATATATATATATATATATATATATATATATATATATATATATATATATATATATATGTTAAACTACTATTTAAGATTAGATCCTTCCGTGTATACTCATTCGTGGTGCTCAAACAAAATAAAGAGAATGTTGTTTGTAACATCCCATGTATACCCGAATTGTTATCATGTCATCGTATTAAACTGCGTTTAATTAAAATTGTAGAGTAACTTTTTCTTTTCAATTATGACGTCATTATCATTTACCAAGTTGATTACTTAATCATTTTCAAAACATTGCCTGAATGTAATTGCAATAAAACTAAATACACTGAAATACCTCAATATATAAATAACTGTGAGTATCTAAGTCACGAAACTACAACACGTAGTCCGGACCATAATCCTGATACAATTATACAACTTCATACTAAAATAAAACATAGTCAAACAATGTGGCATGGACAATTCTCATGCTCACCAAATAAGGCAACAAGCCCAACAGAGTCTCACATCAAATAATCATAATAACAAAGGTAAAACATGTCAGAATCCAGCATATCTTCATAAACAGCATATATCTAACTCAGTTCCGGCCTCCTGCCGCCCGAGGTCTCAAACCCGAGTTACCTGAACCTGAAAATGTGCCTCAAACATGGGGTGAGATCTCTAAACAGAAATCTCAGTAAGGGTTTCTCCACCCCAAGCTCACTTACATGTGCAATATAAGTTCTAAAACAGTAAAACAATATAAGTTCCAAAATCAGTGCAATGCAGCAGATAATCATGTCATGTGTGTCAAATATTCTACTGGCCAGAGAAATGCAGGGTTTACATACGTCTATTACCTACAATCAGTGCAAGTTCATACTTGCATCCACCCACAGAATCACCCCATGGTATCTCTCCTACATACTCAGGCTTACCGTCTAGGTGGAATAACACATGCATACTATAAGGCATTTGCACATAACAACTCAACAACATTTCAAACATAAATACATGAAAACACATGATGCATATAAACCATCCCCCCATGGGGTATGGTGGAACCAACAATGGCTAAACCGAGGACACAAAAGCTTACCTCTAAGCAAACAATCCAATCCAAGGTCCACACCAGGTCAAAGTCCACACACAGCACAATCACAATCTTTCTTTATCATATCAATATTTATAATCTAAGAGTTCATGACAATACGACAACGTTTTCCTTTTACGTTTCATGCCATTAGGCTTCTCACGAAGCCATAAGCCCTTAATCCCTTTGATTCTGACTTAGATTAATTATTACAGAGGTTAAACTCAACCAATCCAGGGTCCATAAACCCCAAATACAGTTCTGTAAGAACAGAACAGTCACTGTCTCAAAATTTCCAGAATATCCAGATATTTGTCGAGGACATATCCGGATATCCATATCCAGATATCCATATCCGGATATCACAAGTCCCATATTCGGATATCATATCCGGATATTTCGCGACAAAATGCAGTTTTTGTATTTCTCGAGATATCACTCCCAAGGTTCCATTTTTAACACATTAAAACGTTAAAGCATGCATCTTGAAACCCCTTTAGACCAGTTATCATGTTGGTTACTTGTTCATCTTATTAAACATGCCAAGGTTTCATTTTTAACTAAGGAAACTCATTATCAAGGGTGACGAACTTGAAAGAAACTGACCTTGAAGGTCGAGGCATGTGAGAGGGAAAAACAAAATTTTTCGAGCGGAATAACACATACCATATCAAGAAACATGCTTTAGGGCATGGATGTTACCTTGTTTGCTTTCCAAAACTGGAGGATGATCAAGATGAGGCTTGAAGATGCAAGCCCTCTAATGTTGATCCACACCACCCTTTGTCAAGACGAAAGAACTCTTCTTCAAGGCCACCAACGAAAACACCAATGGAGGCAAGCTATGCGCCCAATGTGTGAAGGAGGAGGCTAGGTCAAGGTGTTTAGAAGAGTGAATATTCAGCAAGAATAGACACAAAAGTGGCGCATGGTTTTCTTTGAAAAAGGCTAGGTTATTTCGAAACTCTCTTAAGAAAAACCTCACAAAAGGAACCCACAAGGAGATGAGAGAATGAGTTAATTAAAATCTTATTTTCTTCACTCAAATAAGGCCCTATATATAGCGCACACTAGGGGGACGAGTGGAGTTGTTGCAAAATTCAAATCTTGTCAACAACCTCCTCTCACATCCTCATGATATCAAGTGAATATCTCAACAAGAATCTGACTCAACAACCATCATATGGCCAGCCATATGGTGCGCCCCACTTGGCCTCATAACAGTCCAGATACATTGAACAGTTGCATTCAAACTTGAACCAACTGTCTCACTTATTCTCTCAACAAACCAAATCTGACTGGAGCTCATTTGGTTGATCCTATGACCATCATCAGATACCATAATCAGTGCCCCATATCCTCACTAGAAGATTCTCAAAGATCTCCTCTTGATATTTGGGATTTGTTCCAACAAGATCTTATCTTATCCTTTTGTTATGAAACAACTTTTCATAGCCAATTCAAATTCGAATTCAAACATTTGAATTCAAACGTTCAAATATTTAAATTTTAAATTCAAATTCAAATTCCAAATTCAAATTTCAAATTCAAAATTTCAAATTTCAAATTTCAAATTTCAAATTCAAAATTCGAATTTCAAAATTCAAAATCAAAATTCAAATTTCAAAATTCAAATTTCAAATTTCAAATTTCAAATTCAAAATTCAAAATTTAAACATTTGATAATTAATTTAACTAATTAAATTAATTAGTAATGTCTTGGACCATCCAAGCCCATTAACTAACCATGCGCCCTTTTTTCCTTTTGGTGGGCTTCCAAACTTCTTCTTGGGCTAACAACCATTATTAGGCCCAATACCTTTAATGCTATATTGTCATGACAATAAGGTGTTAGTGTGTGACCCATTAGGCCCAACATAGCCACTGACATAAATGGGTTTGGGCCCAATAAGCCCACAACCCATCTAATGACAACACAGAGCACTAGCAATGCTTTGTTGCCCCAGAGCTAGTTAGGTTAATGACATAATCATCCTATTACACATATTTGGTTGCCGTATGTATTTCCTTTCGTCTCGGTTACCTTTCCATAAAACCTAGGGTAAGGAAGCGTATCAACCTTTGCGGTTTAGGGTAAGCTTTATTCGAAATAGGGAATCTTCAATTTACTGACTCTAAAGGCAGATCATCTCATGATCTCTTTTACTATGCATAGATTCCCGAGTCCTTGTAAATGTCATCCTGATTTCTCCGGTTTACAGATAACCTAATCTCTCACAGAGATTTGACGAATTCCTTCAGCTTATCACCCTAGCCCTGTGCTCTTTCAGGACAAGCCCAACAGTATACCTATGAGTCTCCATGTTTCAGGCAGACGAGGTATACAGTCAAAGCATGCCTTCTAGAACACAATCTAGGTAATAACTTCTGGTCTTAGGAAAGACATACCCAAATATAAAGAGACTACTCTAATGATACTCTCTGTGAGAGTTCCTCATAGAGTCTCTTGGTGGGTCTGTTCAGTGCGAGTTATACCCTTATAGGTCCACCCACGACTTTAGCTAAGACATCTCCATATCTGTAGCACATGAGGTCTATACCTTGTATCCATATACAAGTAGATAAGTCGTGCTAGTCTTACCCGAGATTACTGACCCCATTCTCAGTATCTCTAGACTAGGAACATAAAATTAGGAATAAACATCCGGTATTCTTGAATCCTCATGATTGTGATCTCATCACAGATACTCAAGAGATACCTATTTTATTCCACGGGGTTTATCAAGCTATTCATAATATATTAACATTAATATCGAGACAGAATTATGAAACAAGATAAAGAGTGCTTTCTTTTATTTGCGACAATATTAAAAAGGTCTACATCTATGTCCTTATTTAATCATAAGATTGTCTCTAGGACACCCAAATACTAACAAGCTCCCACTTGGCCTAGAGCCAATCAGACCTAAGTCGTATACCCAAAGCCTCATAATGACTATCATGTTTTCTCTGAGAAACAGCCTTTGTCAGAGAATCAGCCAGGTTATCATCTGTGGGAACATAATCCATCTTTACATCCATTCTATCAATGATTTCTCTAATCAGGTGATATCTGCGGAGCACGTGCTTAGATCTTTGATGAGACCTAGGTTCCTTTGACTGCGCAATGGCTCCAGTGTTGTCGCACAACAACTGTATGGGCTCATCCACGCTTGGAACCACCCTAAGTTCTGATATGAACTTCTTGATCCACACGGCCTCCTTAGCCGCTTCTGAAGCAGCTATATATTCAGCTTCTGTTGTTGAATCTGCTGTTGCCTCCTGCTT